ATTATCACCCATTCTGGCGGGTGAAAACAAAAATAGCGTTTTTTTAAAGTGAGAAATGGTATTTGTTGCTAAGGGGGCGTTCTAGTGTTACGTAATGCAATCTGGGGGGAGAGGAGGTCTTGAAAAACGTTACAATGCGTTACAGTGGCGGAAGGGCGGTCGATTTCAAGTTTTTAAGCAGAAGTACTTTGTAGTTGGTGTTGTTATTTGTAACTTTATACCGTAATGTCATCAAAGAGAGTGTTTGGCATCTTTGGCATCCCCCCCTCCATGTCCTTGCCATGATCACAAATTATTGTGTTTCTACTAAATTTCTTTTAAATCGGTTCAACGATTCTTGAAATAACACCATTTTATAAAATAATTGGTCACATCATCATAACGTGATCAATTTTACGATTTGGCCACGTATAAATGCATATTAGTGTTAAATTTCACTTATTACATAATCAATAAACTTAAATGAGAAAAATTCAATAAAAATAAAGAAAAGATACCAATTGAAATAATTATAAAATTATTTGTTTTCACCCGGTGTAAACACCCACGGGTGGAATGAAACGGGTTTTTATTGGGTTTTTACCCTCATGTGGGTTTTTACCCGGGTGGAAACCCATCTCTACCTGTATGTGGTGCACTCATACCGATCCCAAGGAACCGTACTTACTCATAACAATAAGACACACACTGATCCATGTATTTATGCACTTGATAAATTTATGTCTTAAAACGCTGGTAGGGTAAAAAAAATAACGAGATTTGACGATTTGTAAGAATTAATTTATTTTAAAAAGGTAAATAAAGATGTTTTTGGTTTTGTATTTAACAAATTATCAGTTTTATCGGAATTAATTAATTTTCGAATCGAGTCACACGATATCATTCGATGACTTTGCAAATGCAGTACGATGATACGATTACTTTTACGTTGCGGCAATCACTAAAATTCGCTAAAATGACACTAATGACGTTTAAAAAGTGGCACGCTCGGCTTCATACAATTTTTGACACATGCTGCATCTATCCCATGAAGCTAAAGATAAAAATGGAGGGCAGAGTTGGAACAAAAACTTGAGTCAAATACCTACTTATATCTATCTCGCTCTCTGCGGCCCTACCTCTCTTTTTAGTGTGAACTGTAGTATTGCTATCTTCTGATTTAAATCTCCTTATAAATTCTTCGAAATAGCCAATTCACTAACCAAATTAGAAGTTAAACAAATATGTAATTAATATTTGAAACTAAGATTTCCTAGTTAAATAAAAAATCACAAAATTGTCGGCCATTTAGGCTTAATGTGTTGGCGAATCAGGGAATTACAATCCCAATTCCTGGGTAATCGGTACCATGGTGGCAACATAGGCCCAATCCGGCCCATCATGGCGGTTGTTTAGTATTTTGTTTATTAAGCAGTTAATTTCGTTTGAGATTGTTTACAGGAAATAATCATTGTTTTATCACAAGAATTGGTGCAAAATTTTGTAGTGCGTGGTTGCGGTAGTACGTGGTGTCCTGGAAGTGACATAAGATTCCACGCGTAAGTGTTTATTTCGTGATTTCCGACATTGGATCATTGTAAACATTTTTCACATTTTTTACAGTACTTTCTTCCTAAAACGTTTTACGAGTAATTACACTTATCATTTTATTGATACCTATGTCAAGAAATAAAGATTTTAGATTGGTGTCATTGAATTTGAGCAATTTTATATTTTTTGTTTATTTAGAAAGAGCGAGTCTGCCCACAGAGAGCGAGATAGTGATACATAGTTTGTGCTTCATGTAGGTATTCGGAGCGTGGCCTCCATTTTATCTGTAGCTTCATGATCTATCCATATCTGTGATTAGAGGCCAATACATTCGCCCACAGATGGTTTTAACTCTTAAGAGTACATCGCAGGATATGTATTAAAAACAATGCTACTTTATACTTCTTCTACTGCTACTTTATTCTAATTAATTGTTTGTTACTTGTGCTGTTAATTACAATTCTCAATCCGTAAATAATTTCTTCTTTCTACTGTGTTCGTACTACTGTCCTCGTAAAATCATCGTAACCGATTGTTGTAATCGGATTACATGAACATCACTTGACCATGTATGTCCATTTGGACATATCGGAATGGCACGCTTTGACGATCAACTTGCTGTATCTACTCTGTATTTCAATGTTTTTTATAATTTATCACTTCACTGCACTTTAGAACACAAAATAACACCAAATTTGTACACTAAAGTCCATTAAATAATAAATTGAAACCATTAAAACAGATCGACCATGCTTCCCGTTCAACTACCCTCCACGGAATCCGAGCATATTATTATTTCGGACTGCAGCACAGATGAGACTTCATGAGACAGACAGACTGCAGTGCCAATACCACAGATAAGGATTAGAGGCACAGATATGGATTAGAGTAGATACAGCAAGTTGATCGTCAAAGCGTGCCATTCCGATATGTCCAAATGGACATACATGGTCGAGTGATGTTCATGTAATCCGATTACAACAATCGGTTACGATGATTTTACGAGGACAGTAGTACGAACACGGTAGAAAGAAGAAATTATTTACGGATTGAGAATTGTAATTAACAGCACAAGTAACAAATAATTAATTAGAATAAAGTAGCAGTAGAAGAAGTATAAAGTAGCATTGTTTTTAATACATATCCTGCGATAACTCTTAATAGTATTAAGAGTTAAAACCATGGTCCCTGTATGTAGAGATGGGTAGTGGGTAAAAACCCATTTCACCCGATTGGGTTTACCCATTATCACCCATTCTGGCGGGTGAAAACAAAAATAGCGTTTTTTTAAAGTGAGAAATGGTATTTGTTGCTAAGGGGGCGTTCTAGTGTTACGTAATGCAATCTGGGGGGAGAGGAGGTCTTGAAAAACGTTACAATGCGTTACAGTGGCGGAAGGGCGGTCGATTTCAAGTTTTTAAGCAGAAGTACTTTGTAGTTGGTGTTGTTATTTGTAACTTTATACCGTAATGTCATCAAAGAGAGAGTTTGGCATCTTTGGCATCCCCCCCTCCATGTCCTTGCCATGATCACAAATTATTGTGTTCCTACTAAATTTCTTTTAAATCGGTTCAACGATTCTTGAAATAACACCATTTTATAAAATAATTGGTCACATCATCATAACGTGATCAATTTTACGATTTGGCCACGATATAAATGCATATTAGTGTTAAATTTGACTTATTACTTATTAATCAATAAACTTAAATGAGAAAAATTCAATAAAAATAAAGAAAAGATACCAATTGAAATAATTATAAAATTATTTGTTTTCACCCGGTGTAAACACCCACGGGTGGAATGAAACGGGTTTTTATTGGGTTTTTACCCTCATGTGGGTTTTTACCCGGGTGGAAACCCATCTCTACCTGTATGTGGTGCACTCATACCGATCCCAAGGAACCGTACTTACTCATAACAATAAGACACACACTGATCCATGTATTTATGCACTTGATAAATTTATGTCTTAAAACGCTGGTAGGGTAAAAAAAATAACGAGATTTGACGATTTGTAAGAATTAATTTATTTTAAAAAGGTAAATAAAGATGTTTTTGGTTTTGTATTTAACAAATTATCAGTTTTATCGGAATTAATTAATTTTCGAATCGAGTCACACGATATCATTCGATGACTTTGCAAATGCAGTACGATGATACGATTACTTTTACGTTGCGGCAATCACTAAAATTCGCTAAAATGACACTAATGACGTTTAAAAAGTGGCACGCTCGGCTTCATACAATTTTTGACACATGCTGCATCTATCCCATGAAGCTAAAGATAAAAATGGAGGGCAGAGTTGGAACAAAAACTTGAGTCAAATACCTACTTATATCTATCTCGCTCTCTGCGGCCCTACCTCTCTTTTTAGTGTGAACTGTAGTATTGCTATCTTCTGATTTAAATCTCCTTATAAATTCTTCGAAATAGCCAATTCACTAACCAAATTAGAAGTTAAACAAATATATAATTAATATTTGAAACTAAGATTTCCTAGTTAAATAAAAAATCACAAAATTGTCGGCCATTTAGGCTTAATGTGTTGGCGAATCAGGGAATTACAATCCCAATTCCTGGGTAATCGGTACCATGGTGGCAACATAGGCCCAATCCGGCCCATCATGGCGGTTGTTTAGTATTTTGTTTATTAAGCAGTTAATTTCGTTTGAGATTGTTTACAGGAAATAATCATTGTTTTATCACAAGAATTGGTGCAAAATTTTGTAGTGCGTGGTTGCGGTAGTACGTGGTGTCCTGGAAGTGACATAAGATTCCACGCGTAAGTGTTTATTTCGTGATTTCCGACATTGGATCATTGTAAACATTTTTCACATTTTTTACAGTACTTTCTTCCTAAAACGTTTTACGAGTAATTACACTTATCATTTTATTGATACCTATGTCAAGAAATAAAGATTTTAGATTGGTGTCATTGAATTTGAGCAATTTTATATTTTTTGTTTATTTAGAAAGAGCGAGTCTGCCCACAGAGAGCGAGATAGTGATACATAGTTTGTGCTTCATGTAGGTATTCGGAGCGTGGCCTCCATTTTATCTGTAGCTTCATGATCTATCCATATCTGTGATTAGAGGCCAATACATTCGCCCACAGATGGTTTTAACTCTTAAGAGTACATCGCAGGATATGTATTAAAAACAATGCTACTTTATACTTCTTCTACTGCTACTTTATTCTAATTAATTGTTTGTTACTTGTGCTGTTAATTACAATTCTCAATCCGTAAATAATTTCTTCTTTCTACTGTGTTCGTACTACTGTCCTCGTAAAATCATCGTAACCGATTGTTGTAATCGGATTACATGAACATCACTTGACCATGTATGTCCATTTGGACATATCGGAATGGCACGCTTTGACGATCAACTTGCTGTATCTACTCTAATCCATATCTGTGCATTCGCCAATCGGTCATTCGTTTTGGTCATTCGGTCAACAAACGTCAAACAACAACTGTCAAAAAAGAAAGAGGACGAGGAGGACACAGACGGATTTTACAAATTAATTTAATTTACTTGTTTTGCCTAGGAAGTCCATAATATTGTAAGTACTTCTGACATCCTTTTTATTAGGATAATTCAAATGTAATTTGGTCGTTCAAAATTAGTCGCAAACAAATAGCAAAATCGTTCGATTGCTGGGTGTGTTGTTTGCCTTGTTTATCAAAACACGAGTTTTAATAAAATTAGATACCTACCATAACCCTGCCCTCCTTTGCTACTTTTGTTGAGAATAATAATTAGTGCCGTTTTAATGTATTTATTAAATTCTCTTTTAGCTATCAAAATGTCTCTGTATCCATCTTTGGAGGATATGAAAGTCGATACGATGGCGCGAGCACAGATGAGTCATCAGCAGGGGCCGCCCTCGTACCATGCTGCCCCCATGCCTCCGGTGCCCAGCGCTCCTGCCCATGTCTATCCCGCACTTGGGAACTACATGGGGCTGGAATTATCAGCGGATGTTATTGCGCGTAATATGCCCGAGTATCAGGTTCAAACAGTGAGTATTAAATTACTTTGTATGTTGCACAATCATTTACAGCTTGTGGTCAGGCTAATTAGACAAGGACTGACTCAATCAGTCCAATTAGATTAATTAACTTACTTAAGTGGAACATTTCATTATTGTAGGTCTCTTCTGGAGGTGCAGGTCGCAACTTGATTGCCCCCATATCGTCCCAGTCACCATCACTGGTGAAAGCTACTGTTACCGGTGCTATCAGGCAGGTTGTCCTTTGCAAGGATAGAGATGGCAAGTGTGGATTGAGGCTACACTCGGTCAACAATGGAGTGTTCGTATGCTATGTTGGAACAGGCAGTCCGGCCGCCCTTGCTGGGTTGAGATTTGGGGATCAGATATTGGAGATCAATAATGTGGCTCTTGCAGGAATGAGCATGGACCAATGCCATGGATTATTAAAGAAAGCCCCAGCCAATGGCATTTATATGGCTGTCCGTGACAGGTAAATGTTTAGTTATTACTCATACACAATAATTCAATAAAATGTTTATGAAGATTGTTTACTTTGATAATCAGATAAGAATGTTATTATGACTAACACAAGCAAGATTATAAGAAGCAATAGTAAATTGTACTTGACACTACCTTCAAATTCTATTTCAGACCGTTTGAGAGGACAATAACCCTTCACAAAGACTCGCTTGGTCATGTTGGATTCCATTTCAAGAATGGCAAAATTGTTGGACTTGTTAAAGATTCGTCAGCAGCTCGCAATGGCTTGTTAACAGACCACCAGCTCTTAGAAATCAATACAATTAACGTTGTTGGAATGAAAGATAAGGAGGTTTCTAAAGTTATTGATGAGAGTCCGTCAGTCGTAAACATAACCATAATACCCTGCTATATTTATGAGCACATGATAAGCAAGTAAGTACATTATTATCTACTCATAATATTTCCTTTATTTTCCATAGCTGATGTAATGTAGTTATTGCTAACATTTGAGAACTTGATCCAATCGTTTAAAATTCATTTTAAAATCTCATTTGTGTGACATCATAGTTGTTGGGTTTTCCCCTATTGGTTATTGGGTTTGTTTTGGAAACTTCCTGTTAGTCACCCATAATTATTAATGCTTTTGTATAAACTATGCATATAATGCAGTGCAACCTACCTAATTAGGATTATTGTTTGTAATGAACATATTATAATAATAATAATTTTTATTTCTTTTCAGGATGTCATCAACATTGTTCAAAGAGTTGGATCGTACACCTGCAGTTTAAAAGGACAGATGCTTTTATTCTAAATTAAGCCACCCTTTTCACGAATTTATATTACATAATTATTATTTTCTATTGGCACATACTGTAATCTGTTTCACTTTTGTAACTAAAATAGTGATAGCACATAAAATAAGATAAATGATGAGCAGATAATTATTTCCATTTGATCCTAATGAGTGGTGAAATGCACCATACACTTTGGTTGTTTATAAAGATAGGAGATAGCATTAATGACTGCTCGACTAATCTGGTTAGAGTGGTTGCCTACTATCTACGTACATGCTATCTTGATTCAGAAATACCAAGTTTGTTTGAACCTATTGATTGCCTCAGGGGAAACGATTTTTTAGCATTGTTTTAAGTATAATGTTGCGTCATGCTAGTTAGTAACGGCTGTGAGGATCTGTTGCCAATGAAGGAGATTATTATCATACCAAATTTTGTTGCCATATTTTATTTGAAATTTCTCAGATGCAATGACCTAATACTTGACCAGTAGGCCTAGAATGCGCGCCGCGATAAGCGGTTATCACGCCATTTTATCGATTTTGTCCATACATTTTGACGTCGATAAGAGTATATCACGGCGCGCATCCTAGCCCAGCAGGTCAGAATGATGGAAAGAAAGGTCGATTTTTTAATCACTCGTTCTACATTTTTTGGGACAAAGCATTCTACTTGATGGAATGGTGCATGTCTAAATGTATCTCCCTTATTCATATAAAAAATATTAATTCATATCACTATTCATATTTTCATTTCAGTGTGATGAAAGCCATTAACTAGAATTTTGCTTCATAAGACAATTACTTTTTTTTATGAATAGGGGAGTATGTATGGTAAAATAAATAGAATATAACTTACTTTCCATTTAAGGATAGATATTTTTATGGTAAGGTTTAGTAGTAGTTAGTATGTTGTGCACTTTATTTACAATTTTCTATGTTTCATAAAGCATTTATAGTATAGTTTAAAACTGAAGATTTTGCCTTTCAATAACTCAAGATACAACAAAAAGCCTTTTAAATATAGTAGATAAAATGTTGATGGTTATTTGGAATTTATTATTACCTATATTTAAACAAAGTATATAATTTAAGTTTCTATTTGTTTTTATTATGCCTTAACCTGTCTAGTAAATATTATATTTTTAATAAATAATGAAGTGCTATTGCAAATTATTATTATTTTTTAAATGTAAACTTATTATTTTTCAATATTCACTGTCAACATTCCTATTTCAGTTTTAAATAGAGTTATGATGATACATTTACATAATGTTTTATAACTTGACGTCAGATTTTAATATACCTACCTACCTTTTGCAGTCGGCTAAATGCGATGTTATGACCTTTGAAAATTGAACTTGAAATGAAACCAGAGTAATCGATTTGTATAATGTTATTTATGTTTGGATTGATTACTAATCGTTTGGTTTGAATTGTAAATTTGTGATTTGGAAGTCAAAAGTATTAAATGTACGTAAATCAATTTTAGTTTACGTAAAACCCCGAAAATGAGTTATTTTGTTGAATGTAACAATACGCCATGTAATAATAATTTAACTGTTGAAAGGTTGTTGTTGCATTTTATGACATATAATAAAAAGAAAAGTCTAAAAAGGTGTGTGTATTTGTAAACATTTTACTTAGCAGTTCGAAAGTATGGAAGATTTCGACCCCAAAGTCAAGTTTGTGTTCGAATCGTAATAAATGTTTGTTAGAACAATATAATGTGGTCTCGGGAAATTAATGGATAAAAAGAAGAATCGAGGAAAGAGATGGTCCTACCTAACCTTTTCTACGCAAGTTCAGTCAGTCTGGTTATTAAGATTTTTAATTTGTATACTTACCATTTTGTCTTCTTGCATGCTCATGTTATTTTTAAAGGTAGTTATGTTACCATATTGATTGTTTAAAAAAATAGTGCCAACAAAAACATGACTGAGCATGATTTTGAATTCACAAGGTATATTATAAAGTGCTACAATATTTAGGTAAAGTTTTTATCTAGCGTATAATAATAGATAAATACGTATAGCATGAGATCTATAAATTTTATTTGTATTTTTTTGTATCCATGTTATGTTATGGATATTTTATGTCCTATTTAGGTTTTCTACATAAGGCCGTTATGTGTGCCTCATTACATGACGTTGTGATTGGATATTATGACTTATTGGTTTACTGAAGAAAAAGCTGTCCACGGTTTATATTTTGAAACCACGCTCTGGTATTAATGAATATGCACTAATTTGGGTCAAATTTTAATACCTATTTAGACTAAATCAAGCAAACGCAAGCTCAAATATGTGCTATTTTGTATAGAGTTTTAATTATCGTTTCAGAATATAACCCAGACTTCAGAAATCAAGGATATATTTTACAACCACACTCGCTTATTTAGACGTAAAAAACTTTATTGTTTATTATGTACGTACCTATGTTTAAATTTACAATAAAACTTCCATAAAACATTTCTTGTTTCATTCTCAACATTTTTGTTTAATTACATAAACAAACCATATAAACTACATAAAGAATGTATTGTATAATTCGTATTTTAAATTTGATGTCAATTAGAAATAGAGTTTATCAAAATAAAGTCTATCTAATTTGTAAGACAGTGGAAATAGAAAAATAGTAGCCATTTTTACGTCGAGGCTAATAGAAGGGCTATAACAATATGGGGTTGTGGAACGTCCAGTTGGGTTTTAGCACGATCTCTGGGCACGACCAAGACTTGGGGATGAAGAAGCTGTCGGCTTCGCTTGGTGGGCAGTTCTTCCGTGCGAAGTACTCCATGGGGTATAAACTCCAAAGGATACCTAGAAATGTATTATCATGTTATTTTATGTAGTGCAGTAATATGAATTCCTTTTTTGAGCAATAAACGGACAATTAAGTGCGCGTTCAAGTTTTTGAATACGTCTGACATCAGAAAATGGTCTTAACTTTTAAACCGAATTGGCTAGTTTTGTAAAAGTTGACTACCAAAAGTTACAAGCACCTACGCATGGTCGTGACTAGACAGCGTAGGATGCGAATCAGAAAAAGACTAAAAAATACGTTTCTGGGAATAAATGAAATTGAAAATTTAAGATTTCATAATGCGGAAAACGTTAAATTGAGTTATGTGATTAAAGTCGTTGCAGCCATGACCTTTAATAAATATTAGTCTTTAAAAAGCTGTCAAAAACTCGCCCTTCCGGGTTTACGCAGAAGTAGGGTTTCTGATTTCTCGACTTATTTTTTTTCTCGAGTTTCGGGAATTCTCGAGGCCAAAGTCTCGAGTTTTCTCGGGTCTCGAGTCTTTTAATTAAAACTGTTGAAATCGGTTGAAATTTAATAAAAACACGGGTTTTTATTAATGTTATAATGTGTCTGGGTTATAATCAATAATACTGTAAAGTTTCAACAAAATCCGTTCAGTAGTTTTTGCGTGAAAGAGTAACAAACATCCAGACATCCACACAAACTTTCGCATTTATAATATTAGTAGGATAATTATAACTTAGTAATTAACTAAAGGAACAAAAGTCATAAAGTCGCGTGTACTTTAAGGATTAATAACCATAAATATCTGGAGCTCCAATTGAATCACTTGTTTTCCAAAGAACACAAGTCCAAATTAATTGAAAAATTACGATAATAAACCTACATTTACACAAAAAAAAAAACTTTTAAATAAATTTTTAAACTTAAAGATAACGACTTGAATAAACGTATTTACGAGTACAAGCTACGCTAGGAAGCTTCGCCATATACTCACGTCCGAAATACCGCAGTGTCTCAAGTCGAAAGTATTTGACCAATGCGTGTTGCCAGTGATGGTATACGGATCTGAGACGTGGTCGCTTACTATGGGCCTCATAAGAAGGCTGAAGGTCACCCAAAGGGCGATGGAGCGGGCTATGCTCGGAGTCTCCCTGCGTGATCGAATCAGAAATGAGGAGATCCGCAGGAGAACCAAAGTAACCGACATAGCTCGCAGAATTGCTAAAATCAAGTGGCAGTGGGCGGGGCACATAGCTCGTAGAGACGATGGCCGTTGGGGCAGGAAAGTTCTCGAGTGGCGACCACGGGCTAGAAGACGTAGCGTGGGCAGGCCTCCTACTAGGTGGACCGATGATCTGGTAAAGGTCGCGGGAAGAGCCTGGATGCGGGCAGCGCAGGACCGTTCATTGTGGAAAATCTTGGGGGAGGCCTTTGTCCAGCAGTGGACGTCATTTGGCTGAAACGAACGAACGTAGGTGAACATTATTCGTTTCGGTTAAGATCATTACTTGCAAATCAAATCAGTTAAAAAAAGGAAAGACTAGGCCAGTCTAAACGCAACGTTAACCTATTAAATAATTAAAAACTTACTTTTGTCTAAGAAAATAGGCTTTCAAGAATATTAAAGCTTCAAAATCGAAACTCGAGAATTCTCGAGCTCCGGTAATTTTTTTCTCGTCTCGAATGAAGCCAAATTTCTCGAGTTTTCTCGAGTTCGAGAAAGCTCGAGCAGAAACCCTACGCAGAAGGTACAAAACGACGATCAATCAATCAGTTAATGCGCACGGATTAGAGATTTATGTAGCTTTTAGGGCCGACACACCAAAGCAATGAGAATTGCTAATCGTAAAATGTTTACCGGTCGATGTAACGACCGTGCTACGAGTATGCCTACGAGCTAATACTTGTTGCTGCGAAATTTTATCCAGACCTAAGTTTTAGAAAGTTTACGACCTTAACTTTAGGTCTACCGACTTAGTAGGGATATTGAAAAACATTAAATTATGCGACACAGGTCGATGTGAGACATTTACTTTACGAGTATAAGTAGTCTAGAGTATCAACTCATTAACATAATTGTTTTTATTTTTAATTATGTATATTATGTATAATACTACGACTACGAGTACAGTTGGCGTTCGTAGCTTCGTAGTCGTCGTAGCGCTCTATTTCATCGTTGTACCTTAATTATATTATAAACCTTAACCTTTATATTATTTTATTAAACGGGTCTATAATTATGTAAGGAAATGTATGTACAACTGTGGTACAACGCAATGTAAATGTCAAAGTTGTAAAATTAACTTTTATTTATTTTTATTTTTTTAGGAAGGTTATTAGCACAGGAAATGCGTTATGCTTTTGTCATTTCACAGAAAGCGTAATATTAAAAACGTTTTTCTTCAGACTGAGCATTGATAAGATATCGGAGGATATTGTTTGCATGCCTACCTACTTAATCGTAAAGCTACTCTATCTACGTATGCTAAATAATACGACTGGTTTAAAATAAAGTATTTTTATCGAAACTACTTACCGTTTCCAAAGAAGAACGACAGCCACATGATTAGGTTCAGGGCGTTAGGGAATCGGCGCCCGCTGATGGCTGTCAGTGGCAACATCAACAGCCCACACACGCCGAACTGGACCAGGAGCACCGGGTAGAAGAATCCGAAGGACAGGGCCAGTATCAGCTCATGTGCCACTGATGATACCTTTAACAATAAACAATCAGTATAGAACCTACGTCGGCAGACATTTAATTAATTTATACCAGAGTGTAGGTAGGTATGTACATTATTACTAACCCATTATGTACTAATGTGTGTCACCACATAGGACGGAACGTAACACCTCGACCTTTTTATTGGGATTGAACAAATTCAATTTTGCTAATATTTGTGTCAAGTTTGGTAACAATGTACCTACCTACCTAGGTTATAAAAATCTTTATCTCTACCTCTTTAAACTGTTATTGAATCGGCTCTTTTTTAGTAGTCTCACCCTTTAACTGCATCAATTACTAGAAGAATAAATAAGTAGAATAGGTAAAACCACTAACACGTCAATCGTATTTGGAAACTCCAATAAAACTCTATTTACATGTTCCTTTTACGTTGGTAAATTCAATTTCGCATTTTGTGAATGTTGAATTCGACATTTCACATTGACCTTTAGAAAAGGCTCTCAGAAAAACGTTCAGCTTGTTTCTCTTTATTCGTGTATTCTGTAGCATAAAGGGAATACGCTTACGTCATCACTACCCGCCATGGTGCACCGTCATCGTCTATAATAGGGAGAGTTAATTCAATTTTCTAAATGGTTTTTTTCTCAGTATGGTGTGGTGTTATTAAATAACGAATGCAGGTGTCTTTTATGTGAAGATAACGATGTGCGGGCTGTTAGCTTGGCAGGTGTCTATTAGGTTGTCAATGGGTTCTTTGATGATGATAAACTAATAACGGCTGGCCTTGAACCTGTGGCCATACTTAGTGGAAATAAGTATGGCGGTATACCTACTTATGTAAAACACATGAAATACATGTGTGGCGACAAACTTTCGCTAACTATACCTATGTAAGTACTATGGTAAAGCAAAAATTTTTAGCTAAGCGTTTCAGAATTGGTGCTAATTTTACTAGTTTTAATTTAACCAGAATACGTGTAGGGTACATTAATAGTAAGTATCTACTGTTAATTTTGTCCATCCTTTTATTTCAATGATTTAACGAAGGCTCGTTATAGGTACGTGTACTTTCTATTTAAGATATTTACGAGTAACTACTTTGTTTGTATCTACTTTAATAAACCCTCCAAAAGCGAGACGATTCATGGTGTTTTAAATATTTTGGCACAGTTCTAGATTTTATGCATAGGAAAGTTCTTTCTACAAAGAATAACACGTGGCAGTGGTGGTAGTTGAAAACTTTTCTCCAATTTGGAAATGCAATTTGCAAGTTCGCTTCGTTTCATGTTATGTTTCAAATGGTTGCCTGCAAGCCTGGAAACGAGAATATAATACTAACATTTAAAGTGTTTATTCTAATAGAGTCCTTTGTCTGCACGTTTGGAACAAATGATATTAATGTTAAAGTCGGTTTATTTATAGAAAGTGAGGCTATTCTCTTCTAATTTTATTATCCGATAGTGAGTAGAGGTATTTTTGTTTGTTATTTCGATTTAGGATCCTATTTCGTTTCAGTGGAAAAGTATTTCAGGAATAATCCTGGCGAAGAGGCAGTAGTAATCAGTTAACCCATATTTTTTAGAACCGACTTCATGTGTGTTAATGCATGTTTTACCGACAATTTGGTTGGTTGGTGTTATTACAATAAACTACAACAGACGTTAAACACGTGTTTAAAATTAAATTTTCATATGAAATGACAATTTAAAAAGTGTTCAACGGGTGCTTAAGTTTTTGTAATAAGCCCCTATAAGTTTAAAACTGAAAGTTTTACAAGTTGTACCAACAATAAAGACACAGCTGCTAGACACGGCTCGGCCGGCCCGCGGTGCGAGGGGCATGTAGAGGTAGTCCCGCAGCCAGAAGTGCACCACGCGGTTCCACGCGCGGAAGTACTTCGAGAACTGAGACATTGTCCACCAATCCTGAAAAAAATACCACGTTAAAAGCAAATCACAGCCAATGAATGTACGACTCTACACATCAAGCCCGCCGACAGCCTGGTGTCTTTTGACAACATGTTAGAAGTCGACGACTCATGCCAGCGGGTTGGCGTTTCATGTGTTTTAAATTTAGCTTTGTGTTGTTTTGAATACCTAAGAGTATGTAGCTTAGACTTTATTGTCATTATGTGAAATAACGAAAACTTTTGAGATTCTCTTTTCACAAGAGCAGCTAATGTCTTAAGTTTGGATACTGCTTGTAAGAATCAATCCGACACTTAGATTAGTAACTACTCATTGGTAATGTACTTGTAGTACTAACAGTGGACGCTTTTATCATTATTCATTGAGTCATTATCCTTTTGTATGATAAAAAACTAATTAATATTTCGAGACAGTTGACTGATAACTGGATGTGATATCGTCAAATCGTCGGCCACGTGCAGAGGAAGCAGGAAACTGTTACAATGTAGCAAATGAGTCTTTATTTTCACTTGTGTTGAATTTTATGATAGGATAGGTACCTAAGTAATGTTCACTGGCGCCTCTGAGAAATGAACATTGATTTAATGTCGATTGTCGATCGGTTATTTTTTTGGTTTGTATTTCAAGGAATATTTGCAACAAGTCAATATTTTCCTTAGGTAGGTACTATTATCGTATAGGTATAACTTTTTTAGTTCTGAACTTATTATCTCTTTTTACAACGAATAGTTGCATAATTGGTAATACCAGTGACCAGTCTGGCCCGGAATATTGGTTTCGGTTTTATGTAATTAATAAGTAGTCACTATAGCCGTTTTTTAATGGATTTGCTGAAGTCGTACTATGCGACTAAATGTAATGTGACTACGGTACGGCTACCTAACTACGTTACATGAGACATGAGATGTAAAAAACACTGTTTCTTAAAAATTAATAGTACCTAATGTTTGATGTTCATGTGAAAATGACTATTGCTAAGTCTCCTCTTCATTACCAACTTCGTTCAACTACAGTTTCCAAACAAGCATTTCATCATTAAGACAACATTTACGTGCAAGTTTCACCTCATAGAACAATCGGTCCCCGAACTTGAGCATTTCCGCGAACGCGTTCAGCCAGGCGTGCAGCAGGCAGTAGAATCCACAGAGGAACGAGATCACGCCCGGGAGAACGCACGCGAACATGCCGCGGACGACCGTGCCCGCTTCCACCTGTACAGATACATTACAATTTCAAAATTAGGTTATTTTTTTTTAATTAAGGCTTTAATAAAAAAACAAACTGTCAAACAAGACGCGTCACTTTCCCGCCAAAAGTATTACAAAATGACAGGCTCTGTTCCAGGTGCGAATGAGAAAGTGTTTTGTTTTTTTAACTAAGTAGTTCGTACTGGCCCGAGCCATAAAGAAAAAAAAACTACTGGCCAGTCCACTCACATTTAAAGGGTTTCTTTTTTCTTGATCTGCTCTAATAAAATTTCTAGTAGATTATTTATATAAGTAGGTACTAGGTATTGTATAATAACTACTCGTTGCTAATAAAAGTTTTCATAGAATTATACTTGGCATTCGTAAAATGAAAAGGTTGCTCTATTCATTCAAACATTTGGGTATGTATGATTTCATTAATTTACACAGTTGGGGTTGGCTTTTTCACTCGTATTCGTTAGAAGCCCTCATTAATTTGATTGATAAGTCACATAATTACAGGGATAGCTCCGAGTACTCTGCGGGGACAGCTTTCATAAAATCGCGCGATCCGTCCCAAATAACATTACCTATACTAATTGCCTTTAGAAAAACTCATTCCAACAGGCATTACCTACTTAGTTACGGTGATGCGTGTAACGTGACCCAACATCATCTATTATTATATTTTTGCAAAATATTGCGTGTGCTCATTTGTAAGAAAAACAATATCCAACCGTAATTACGAGAAAATTGATATTTATAGCTTAATTTTTTGTTACTTTTATAAACTTTTTAGCATAAAAGTAGAATGCTTAATAGCTGTGTTCTTAATTAGAATGGCATTTAAAGGTCGTTCGTCTTATTTTATCATTGTACTCGTATTATAAAATAAAAATTATCGTAGTCAGGATGCATGCAATGATCCAGTTTTCAAACTGTACTTTTTTCAGAAAATAAAAATGTCCATGATAATAAAAGTTACGAGGTGCGATTTTAATTTAACTATACTTTGAAAACTCAATGTATATACTCACTTTGGGCTGTTTGCCATAATCGGACCAGTAAGGCAAAATGAAGCGCTCCCATAAAAAGCTGTTGTAAAAAATAATGGCCGCCACTTCCAAGAAGTGGAACACCACTGTGCCCCATCGGATTTTCTTCGTCCTGAATAAGAAATGTGCAAGTGTTATGTTATGAGGCACAATAACATTTGAGTTGGGTGCCTTTTGTACCTTTTCAAAGAGACAAAACACGTGTAAGTTGAAAATAGGCACATTTAATGCTTAAGGTATGAATGAGAGCAAACAACCTACAAATCCTTGAGTAAACTTTTCTCATTAACTTCTTCTAGTACCTATTGTACGCAATTAGGTTTATCTATAATATGTACATACACTTATTCTAAATTAGATTTATTTAGGTTGGAAAGATCGAATAGTTATAAGCAAATAAGTATTTAGCATAGTGCTGTAATTCACGCGTGTATTTACTTATTTCAGAAACTTACAGAGATGACACTGTTGTAGGCAAGATGAACATACTTTCGGGTATAAAATTTAGGACTTTGCAACAAATGTTAGTCATTTGACACCAACGAGATTTAAATCGGGACAGTGACCGAAGTTGCGGTCAGCATCTCCTCCGGGTCAAGTCAGCATAAGGTGCCACTTAGGTACATGATAGACTTTCTAAAATATTGAATACCTAAGTAAGATACTAGACACTAGTCATAATAGAGCCAACTGTAGTCTAAAAAATGGTTAAATTTGAGTTTCAACAAATTGCAACTGGCGTTGTAGCCTGGTAGGTAAGAATTTAAGTGTTACGTAACAATATAATTTAAGCCTATGGGCAGTTTACTTCAGCTATAACTTTAGGTTTTAGGCTGTGTAATGAAAAGTAATTTTATGTAAGCTAATACCTACTAAGTACCTTTTTGTTTTATGTAAATTTTTGTCGTTTGGACTGGCCGTAACAATTTGCGTAAGTAGTCCATTAAGTAAGACGTTTTTGTTTGGGCAGATTTGTAAGTAGGTAAGTAATTACTTTTTTTTAAGTTTGGCTGATATAGGTAACATGATATGCTCAACTGTGTCTGGATTTAAAAAAAAACACAATTTCTATTGGACGATCTCGATCAAGACTTTAATATTACATTTCTAAAGATTTAGCTCAGTTTGAAAATAATGTATCGGTATAATAGTATAAGTATAATAATAGGTATGTAGGATGAGGAAAACAAAGTGTATCTGATCAAAAGTTTACTTGGAACCAGTCATTCACTTAGTAAAAGGTGCTTCATTTTCCCTTTTCTTTGATTGAGCAATTAACTCTTTAAAGATCAAAGATTTCAGGTAACATTTACTTCGAGATTAAGGGTATGTCAGTCGCAGGAATATTTAATTTTCTTTGAGACTGCGTCAAGGGCCGTTGAGAATTATAAGGCAATTTAGAATTAAGCGGCAAATATTAAATTCTTGTTTATAACAACAAAAAACAATCTTCACGGTAGGTTCCTTTGAATATTAATAACCTATTAAAGTTCAATTTCTTTTGAGGAATAAATTGTTAGACCATAAAACATACAAATGTATAGGTAATTATGTTATGTCTAAAAAAATTTACACTCGCAGGCCGGTAGGCATAATTATGACGAAGGCTTTTAGATAGTCTAACTAGCAACATGAAACGCAACTGGATAGAAAATAATCTGTGTTATCTAAGTGCATAAATTATAATATCTATTTGATTACCTTGGATATTGATCTCTATAGACGAGTGTAGGCGCAAATAGGAAATAGAGGTATTGCTTGAAGGTAGGTAGCGCCTGCCCAGTGTAGCAGCGCTGGCCGCAAGAGGCAGCCACGGCGTGGATCTTCATTGCAAATCTGAACTGCAAGACAAGTTAACTTAAATTAGTTATTCACCACTTTTTAAACGTTGCTAGATGACAAAACGTTATTTACATATAATTATTCTTCACAATAGTTGACCCAGCGAACTTCGTACCGCCTATGTTCATCAAAAATAATGTAGGATTCAAGATTTTTTTCAAATCGGATCAGTAGTTTTGGAACCTATCCATTATATCATGCCCGCGCTTCACCCGCGTGAAATTTCGTTTGTCACAGATCGTCATACATTATAGTCTATATGTTATTCCGGGTTTATAACAAGTAAAGTTTCATGAAAATCCGTTCTTTAGTTTTTGCGTGAAAGAGTAACAAACATCCAGACATCCAAACTATCGCATTTATAATATTAAGTAGGATTACAAAAAAAAAGCAATCAAATCTTTCCTCTATAAAATATTAGTGTAGACAATAATATTAATAGTGCTGATCAAAGACTATTAATATTCCAAATGCAAATAAAAAACCATAGGTTTTATTTTAAAACTCTCTACCTTGCACTCAACTTAATGTCGAACGACAGCCTCTTGGGGCAAGTGCAACTTCAGTGACGGGCCTATTATAAAGTTCTCGAAAAAAGAGCACCTAACGGCGCCGTCTTTTGGTCCCTAGTAAACAATTAGTAAAAAAACTAATTTTCTTAAAACAAAGACGTTTTAATTAAGAGGTTAAAAAACTCTTCAAAAAGTTCAATCAATTGATTGAAAGGACATTAATTATTCTGAAAACTTATCTTATTTAGTATTTTCCCGTGTTGCTAAAGAAAAATAATTATCCGTGGAATCTATCCTGAAACTTATAATTAAATACTTTCGCCCCGAGCCAGACTGCGAACAGTTTATTCTCAAAGTCTATTTGGTGAGAATTAGCGGACGAAAGTGGTTTATTGTGTCATCATTTTACTTTCTGTTAAACTTTGTCTTTGGCTCTACGGATATTAATTGCGCGTGAATTATAATTTCACAAAGGAATTTTGCTTTCTAATTAATTTGTAGTTGGTACACTGTTCCTTAATATTGTTTAATCCTTAATTTACAGGTGTCTTTACAGGAAAAAATAATAATAACAGGCCTTTAAGGGCAAATATTGTAAAAACATTCACAATTCCAATTAATGTAGAGTCAAAGTTCGTGCACCTAACTCTTTTATAATTATTCAATATTGACAATAGTGATGCCAGACGTTTCTCTATCTCTCACGTAGTGGATTAGTCTATATTGAATTCATTTTATTTATAGACCAGCCTGCCGGGCCTGTCCCTTGTAAGCCCTCTAACACCCTGTAGTCCTTCCCTTCGTTGAGGTGTCTCTAGTATTAAACTAACAAAAGCTTTATAGAGCTTTATAGTCTAATATTTTGTACGAAATAAATTGATTAAGGTAATATTTTCTAGCCGAATGAATTCAGTGAATTAAGCATTTGTATGTTTTTGGGGGAACTTTGTACAAATGTATTTATAAACGAATGAATGTTTTTTTTAAATTAAAAAACATAGCCGTTTGACCCATTTTAATGACTCTTCTGTTGACTCTGTTGTAAACATCGTGCTCATTTGGATTCGACTTCATTTTATTTAACTTTTCAGTTACTAAGTTTAACCTAGAACCTACTAAGTTTTAATTACTTAGTTGGTGATAGATATTTAAGCCTTCAAATATGGATATATACGAGTATGCAGCTTATGTAATGATTGCGTTACGTTTGTTTTTAACGTATGAGAATAAATGTATATTAATTTAAAGTAATTCGACGTTAGTTTCGAGAGCTAGTCGTTTAGGGTAAGTATGTACTTATGCAAACGGGTCACAGCATGTAGAACAGTGGTGTGCAGCGGAATTATATATGAAAGGAGTGCTGTGTACTGGAAGGTCGCGCAAACGCTGTACGAAGGCTTGTAGCATTCCCGAGGTGAAACTCAATGGGATTAACCGGGTTACACGTAAATTTACTTGAAATACCACGTAAACGATAAACGTCAAGGTTTTGGTATAACTAAAATAATTTGGGTAGGTAATTATTTAGGAAGAATATTTAACTTTGGTTTTTATTTAAAACTTGGCGGAGAGCTCTACATTCAATACATATTTCCTGAGTGCACATAACGTGCAATTTGTTCTTTTTTTCGTTTTCAGAGTTGTAAATACATCGCCCTAACTTGAAATCTTAAATGTTTTTATTAGTAAAAACGACGCTCATGGATTTAATCGATTACTGAATATTGTTTCAGAAAACCTAAACCTCGAAGTCACGGGTGGGTTCTTGGCAATTAATAATCGTGTTGAGACGGTCAGCAGGTGCCGGTCACGCGGGCAATTGGGTACGCGGGTAGGCGGCAAGCACCGCACCGCGCGCCGCTGCGCCGTAGGTAGGGCTGGCGCGGGTAGCTGGCAGCCAGCTGAGGTGGGTAATGGTAATAGCTTCGTCAGCCGCACGCGGCGAGTTATTTACTGGCCGCCGCTTCAACGAGGGTCCCGCCTGATTTATGAACCAACTATGTTTTGCCCCTTTACATCTGAATTTTTCTTAATTTGAAACCACCAACCCACACATAAACTTCGCAATCTGACGGAACTTTGCTACCCGAAGTTCATGAAAATACACACAAATTAACCCACAGCACAAAGGAGTACGCTCATTTGTATTAAATTATGTAATGGCTCGAGGCTTTATTAATGCGAGTTGTTTTTATGAAAATGGACCCAAAATTTCTGTATACAAATATACCTATACAAATGGTGTTTACTCATTAACAAACACCATTGTTTGCTAAGGTTTGCTCTTTACGAGATATAAAAACACAGACAGAACTTTTTGAGGGGTTTGTAAGTAGGTAAACTATTATACACTTGAATGCGATATAATCAATATTTGTCTGGAAAACGAACTTTTAAAATACTGTGATAAATTACTAACGATAAGCCTGAAAATGAATAAACCACAAAATAGACAATGTTACAAAATCAATCTTAGTAATATTATTCATTAAGCAGTCAATTAAGTAAGTCGTTGTTCGCAGTCGGAGAAGAAACCAGCGCTGCTTATTTAGCAAACTTCCTTTTCAAAACGTGCTCAGCGTTTGTAAATTGCCTCAATCAGGAATCGCTCTAAAAAGGTGTCGAGCATTTTGTAACAGCACCGAGGCATATTTCACCGGAAATTCTGAATTCATTCATATTGGACGAGATTTTATAAAACGAGCATTTCCGGTCAAATATTGATACAAACAAATACACGTTCGAGTATTATTGGATTCCGAATCAAAGCCCCCGGTTGGCGTATATTAATTTACTGGTACGTGTTCCACGCAAAATGTTTCAGGTAGTTTTATTGTGACTGGCGGCAAAAGTTTGTTCTATTGTTGTTGCAAATTAGTTCTGATGTGGAGGTACTTTCGTATAACTAGTACGCGTTAAAGGAAGTTATCTACTCTTTCCTCCCCATTAGTTTGACTCTGTTTAACGCGCAGGTCGAAGTTCGCCTTTGTAATTAGTTTGTATCACAATACCGCTGCTTGTACCATGACTCATTAATCATTAGAGAACTAGGAAGCAACTAAAAGCCGGAACGGAAAACTTTTTGATTTATACATGTACAAACCACAGATCACAGAAAGTAAAGGGAGATGTGACGAGGGGGCGTTGCCAGTGTCGCATCAATATGCCCAAAAACAGAACATTTGCACAGCAATGATGACAGCAGCGACGTCATAATGTAAATAGTTTACATTGCTTGCGTAGTACTAAAGATCATTCGAACATTGAGTACTGATACCGCAGTGGATAATGAGCACAATATAATTATTTTGATTACTTTGTGTGGTGTGAATTTCTAATGCGACACTGAGTTTCGAACTCAGCGCATTAGCATCTCTCTATATATTATCTCTATGGTACAATCTTATTGAAATGGCATCAAAACGTACCTTCATATCGATGTTCATAAAGCAATTAAGGAAATTTGGCTATTGATTAATGTCACACCGCTCTTTATTTCCCGGGGTAAGGTAAATTGGTTTTTCGCAAATAACAAAGACTTTGAACAAAAATTTTAATTAATTTCGCTGACTTCGTAATACCTCGGCCGTGGTTAACGTTCTTATTTTAAAGTATTCGGAATGTTTTAGTAAGTTACCAGCAGATAGGTAAGGTTCTTGTATTATTAGCAAAAGATAAAAATATAATAAATTAGGTATTTGTCAAAATCATTTGTTTCATACTGTACTCTAAGCACAGTATTACAAAAATTTAAAAAATTCTACTGAGAATAGGTACCTACCTACAGGTTCATTTTGAGATTGATAAGTTCTTCTACCTGTCATAAAATATTTTGACAATAAAGAATAATGACGTGTAAACTTACCATTTCACACGTGACAGTCACAGAGGACGCGAGAGCCAGGTGCTTTTTGCCCAAATCCCACACGGGGACTGCAACTAGAGCCACTTGAAGAGCCGCTAGCCCAATTATGCCCATTATCGTCCATATTCGTTGTAGAGCTGTGAACATAAATTACCGAAATAGAACATAAATGTTAAACAAAACTTTGCTTGTCTGAGGCAGGGCATTCTTGAAAAGTCCTCCAAGTTTACTAACTACAATCATTATGAAAAAGCTGAGGATGAATGGTATTTCAAAAATAGAAATCCGCTCAAGCCTTGATCAAAATCGCGATAAAAAGGTGATCCATATTCTAGTAGGTAGTCAATACATAATCTGTAGAGATGGGGGTACAACAAACCGAGCGATGCGATAAATTGGGAGTTTGGAAGGCTCGCCGAGTTACGTGGGGGCTCCAAGCCATGTGTGCACATTCCTTGTCAATTACATACGTGAGCGCTTAACTACCGCGGTTGTAGGCCTTAGCTGTGTCCGAACTGACAGCGTGGCGGTGTTAGTTGCAGGGCGTGTGATATATGGACTTAGAGTAGGCGCACACCGTTGGATTTTTCGTCGGCCGATAGTTTAGTCGGGCAGTTGATCAGTATGGGCATGTATGGGAGTGCGCACACTACGCCGATTCGATTTGGCCGATTCTTCATACAATTTAAAATCGGGCACAACTATCGCCCAACTAAAAATCAACGGTGTGCGCACCTACTTAGGGGATTGACCTACTTTTTCCCCAACCCTATAACTAATTTACTCGTACTTCATTGTCTGATCCTCGCACACATTCATGAGACAAACAATAGTATTATGGACAATATTTCTCATATTCATAATTACTTTCTAATACTAGTATTGGTATTAGTTTTTGGTATTTTAATGGAATCTCAATGGATCTTCAAAATTTTAATTCTAAATATAAAATTGTATCAGGGCAGTCTTCAGGACTATTGGTTGTTTATGTAATGACTCTATCGTAATTTACAGTAAGATTTAACGAACGTATTTGAGATTCTTTAATTCTCTGCTCCTTTTGCTGTGCCAAAGTTAAAGTAATCAGAACACAAAAATATTGAATTTTTTAAATGAAAGCTCATTCACTCTTATCACGTTGATTGCGCTAAAGGTACGGACATAATGTATCAATATGCCTCCACGGGTATATAACCTCCAGGCATTAGTGCTTCCACGGCAGCTGAATACGTATGTGGCCAACCAAGTGACTAATTGGAGGGGCGGTAGAGGACGGCGGGTGCAACAAAAGGCACACCCCGGGAATAGAGGGCGAGTGGCCACTTGCTCGCTCGGCGGACGTCAAATAGCCGCTTATTGTGAGACAATACTGTCAATATGACGAATGAATAGAACAGTCAAATAGTTCGTGATCCCATAGTAGCCAATAAGTTCGCAACGCGTCTTTGTTAGGTACAATTGGAATAAGGTTGTGTTGTCAACTTTTTGGTGTTTTTAAAAAAAATAAAAAATTAGTTCCGTCATAACTTTTCAATGTAGAGAAACGAGCGCTAATAAATTTAACAATGCTGATTGGCAATATTGGCATGCTAAATAAAAAAAAACTTCCATACACTAAGTCATAATTAAAAGCTCCATCATGTTCAATATTAAAGCTCATAGCAGATTGGTTGGTTTTCCCAAAATTTTTAAGTATAATTTCTTAAGTAGTAGGACTAGTTAAGTAGCGCTTTTATTTTTATTTAATAACGTATGAAAATTGTATAAGCAAGTTCTATTTTAACCCTAAGTTATTGTGTAGTCACGGCCACTGACCCCGCTCAGCGCGGGCCCATTGAAATCGCGGTTTGTGCAATACTAGGTCAGGGCTTAAAGCCCACCTTTTTCAGAGATTTGAAATTAGTGGCCCTTAGTTTTCGTTAACTTTCGTTGTAATATTTTTATTTCTTATAAATAAAGATCCTAAATGATGTTCTTTCGTTATATTTTATTCTTACCTACATATTAATCTACAATTCCTCTACTAAATTTCACTCTACATTCGTGCGTTCGTGAAACTTTGGCTCGCGGCCGAATGCAAGTTCGTCGTTTTGGTTCGACGTCCTCGTGCCAAAGGCCCGGATTTATATTTCAATGAAATGAACGCATGAATTCATGACCATTGCATGTAAAGTTTGATATTCTTTAAACTTTTAGAATACAATAATATGTACCATTTTTGAAACATAAATTAGTTATTTATTATACCTAGGACCATAGTCGGAGGTCGGAGGTAAGACTGTTCAAACTAAGTTATGATCGCAGTAATGTCTCTGTTTTAAGTTATAACAATCATGGATCATTTTTACTGCCAAATGCCTAATCAGTTGCTATGCCCATTTACGAATATGTAATCACTATCACCAAGTCATTACTGATAACATTAAACATGAAATGCCTATAGTCTAAAAAGTGTGTAGCATTAGGCATTAACTCTCGGTCCATATCTTTTTCGATTACAACTGATCCGTTTGCGCAGCAATTATCAAAATGTACTTATTTTTAACGAAAGTAGCTACATGAATAGGAATTCATACCTGTATTTTTCTTAAGAAATTGCGTTCCAGCTCCAAAAAAACGAAATGCTGGATAAAAAGCGAAGGCACACGAAAGTTCGTAGAGCCACAGTTTTGCGCCGCGTCTCACGTCTCCGAAGCCGTAAGCCACAACCGATAAGCCCACATTTATCCTGCAACAAAATAAACCTCAGCATATCCATACTTTAAAATCGACCGGGATACTCTGTCAGACGAATTTTTGGCTCCATCTCACTCGCACTCTCAGAGATACTCTTAAGAGCAATAGCGACAGGTAGAGCCGAAAAACGCACGCATCCTTGAGTGGAGAGCGTCATATGATGAGTTCTTAGCCTCGCTATATTATGGATATTTGTGGCTCAGTCGGGATGAATCAACCCTTATTCCATTTATTTAGGCTTCCCCAACTTCATATGGCCTGAATAAATTTGAAATTCGTTATGGAGGATCTGGCTGACTCTTCCAGATATTTTCATTGCGAATGACTATTCTGTTTGAGATAATATTTCAAATTACATAACAATACAGAGTGAGTTGGTGATTTCAACTTAAGTACAGTCGACAGCATAAATATTTTGTGGTAAAATAAGTATCATCTAGTGCAGTGTTTTTCAACCTTTTTCATGACACAACCCCCCTAGTATGAAAAAATTTTTTGCGACCGGACCATTCGATATTTTTTCATGCATTTTATAATGTTACAAAAATGTTGTTCTTCAATTCATACAACATTTATGAATTTAAAACTTTCCTGATTTTTTTACTAAGGTAGTTTTTACGACCCACTGGTTGAAAAACACTGATCTAGGTAACAACATAAATACGCCACAGAGCTTTTGTTTAATGCTGTCGTCTGTACATACACAATAATTTTAATAAAATTTTACTTGCTTTCCTCTCTCGATGAGATCGAATATGACTGTGTCGAACAGAAGCATCAGCAGTATGACCACGAAGATGTGGTAAATGGCTCTAATGTGAGACACGTTTTCCAACAGAACCGTGAGATTTGACTCCCGAAGAGTGAATTCTGGAGTACGGGATTTGATCTCTTCCTCATCTTTAATGTGCCCATTTTGAACTAAAGACTGTATGTTCCGCTTTCGTAAAATCCCCCGATCTTCAGCCATGTTGTTTATTGTCCTATCTGAAAGCAGGTTACAATTTTGGATTGATAATATGCAACTTATGTAGGTACCTTAAAAAGTTAGAAATTAATTAGCTATTTCAGACTTAATTTAAAAGATACTTAACTAAACTAAAACACAATAATTGAAAATACTAAATTATTTCTTTCTATTCAATTGTGTAATTCTTAGAAACCATGAAATTGCACTCACGAAAACTTAATCTGTAACATGATTAGTTACACTATAACTATTGCCTTTATGAATAAAGAAACATCAAATAATGTAGTGTTACTAATTATTGGGCCTACAATAGACTCTAACTAACCATTTTGATTTTCTTCAACACAAACGTGTAGGTAACAATCAAGTACAAGTATTGTTGATTGCATGCTTTTCAACTCGAGCATAACACAAACTCCTATTATCCGAGACTATAAAACGTTCCCTAAATGTTATTGTTGCACGAAATAATTCTTCATTGAAACCCCAAAAACTTACTTTATTAAATTTCCAATATGTCGTCTGCATTCCAGAAAATCACAATAACACTTCGTCCATACTCCATATACAACTGGACTGTTACATTGTAAACTATCCAATTAGCCTTTCACATGTGATAAGGATAGTGTGTGGGCATCTAATGCGAAAACAAGCTGTCGTCTTAATGCAAGCAAACTTGTGTCATATTTACATCAGATGAATTAGATGTATTGTTGAACTCTGATCAATTAGTTAATTACGGCATAATTATTTGAATTGACACAGAATACTACCCCTTTATTTACAAATATTCGAATAAATAGATATGTTGATAACAAACGCAAACTTATTGTTTACTCAAAAATAAAAGCGTGTCCGCGAGACAAAGAGCCGAGGATGCTGGCTGCATTTCCTCGCTGGATAGCATTTTAGAAATTTCTAAGTACCTACTTAGAAATTTCCACTCTGCTTATTTATTTTATACTCATATTTTTGAGTCTAAAAATTTCATAAAAAATGTACCTACCACTTATTGTTATTCGTTCGTTTCAGCCGAAAGACGTCCACTGCAGGACAAAGGCCTCCCCCAAGGATTTCCACAAAGACCGGACAAAATAAATATTTAATTAGATTCAATTCAACCAATAGCTATGCAAATCACGAAATTATTTATAGTGGTATGAATACCAATAGTATATACCAATATTTGCACGAACTTAGTACATTTTATAACAATAATTTGCTTACCTTATATCCTTAGCTTATGAGGTATAACACATTTACAATTAGAACATTATTAATTAACTACATTAATCGCAATTGACTGAGCAATGTTAATTAACGAATACGACAACCGCGAACACAATCAGTCTAAACGCCACTGTAGTGCGTTATCAAACAAAACAATTTGTTATTGTGATTATGCCGTATCTGTCTTGTCGATAACATTTTGTGTAGATCAATCTCATGAATTAACATAAAATAAGCCACGATTATAAATTACCTAATGTATAAATAATTCGATCACATCTTTTTATGTAACTAGCGGCCGCAACCAACTTAGTATGTGTGGATCCCGTTTTACCAGCAGTTAGGGGTTGAATTTTCAAATGTCCCGTCTTAGTGAGCACCTACGTTCTAAAAGGAACCCCCATGCAAAATTTGAGACTCCTAGCACTTGTAGTTTCTGAGATATCGTGATGTGATGAGTCAGTGACCTTTCGTTTTTAAAGATTTAAGATAGTTATAGGATATCCAAAAATGAAAAACACCCAGGGTGTACCACAGTAATGTTACCCTAAAAAGACTTAATAGGTAGGTACTAATAAATCTACACGTGTATGAAACTCATTAAATAACAGACATTTGGTGACGTACTTTTAAATTTTAGCAATAGCGGCCGAGACCTTATGACCTATGCATACAAAGAATTGTGATAATATGCTCGTGCGTTCATAATTTTACGCATGTTGAATAGGAAGTGGTTATAATTAAGTGCTTATTTACTACTGAGTAAATAATCGGCAACAACAATAACAAGAAAATAATACAGATTGCATAACTTTAGCGTCAATTTCGATCTGTTAAATCGATTCACTGATTCCAGAATTACATAAAACAAGTGAGCAATGAAAATTATATTTTTACATCAAAAAGGTCAAAAAGAAAGTTTCAAGTCGTGGAAATTTTCAAGCGAAGTAAAACTCTCTGACCAAAATTAGTAGCCGTTTAGATAAGACTAAGGAATTTTGACCCAGTTGCTAGTGAGATTTTAGATAAACGTAAAATTCAACTGCTTGCCAACTGAAGTTCTATAGTTAAATTGTAAAGTACACTAACTTACGTATCTAGCGCAGCTATCTACCTATTTATCTTGCAGTTAACGCTAATTAAATGCCTTTTGTGGAACTTAACTGGTATCTCCAGTGTTTGCTTAAAATTCTACCCTAGACGTGTTTCGAACTTGCTTAATAAGTGGTTCGTTAACGGGACTATTTCCACCTCTCGTTCCCACCACTGCAACTCCTGTGTAGCCAGGATCTACAGCTTGACCGCCACAAAAACCCAACCAATGAAGGCCAAGTTTGTCCCGGGGGAAAGTTAAACTGTCATTGGACCCGCAACGAAATTAATCAGAAGAACATAGGAGGAGTTCGAAATTAAGGTTCGACTTCCCTCCATTGCAAAGCGGATGACAGGTGACAAACAAAGGTTTAAAACCTTTAAGAAAAGATTATGCACCACGGACAATAAATTAAATTAAGGGGGCCTATCTTATGAGCAATTAGCAACTACCTGCCAATAATATTTTTCACAAAATCGCTTAAAAGCACGGAAATTTTTCCTTGTCGTTCGTTAGTGGTTCGTTAGTAAGCAGTTGGTTATAATGCTTAAACAAATTAGGTTTAATATGTAAGATATTAAGTTTGTTATTACAGTTAAGGTCAAAATGCAGCCCAAGACAGAGAAGACCAAGGAGATGGTTAAAATGCAAAAGAGCTAAGAAAGTTAACCAAGCCTATGCGTTTAAGAATTTAATAACCAATTTAGCATAATATCATAATGTCGGCTACTTAACTTACCAAGTTCTAAGCCCTTGTTACTTCGACATAAAATATATTGCACGCCACTGTTTTATTTAAAAAGTAATTAAACTTACTTTTCAGCAATGTTAAAAGCCTATTTATTAAATTAAAGTAAAATATTTTTCAGCACTTCGAAACTAGCGAGTTCACATCGAAAGGTCGTTACATCGAATAATATTTTTGCAACATCCGTTTCAATTAACGCCTTAATCAGAGTCATTAAAATTAACAATAAATTTTCTTAAAACTTAATTGTTTAGTTACTTGTTTTTCTGAATATCATAATTAAGAACAACTAAAGTATAGCATTTCGTTTTAAAGATGTTTGTATGATGATTTATATTAGAAGTTGAACATAAAACAGTTTAATTAAATATCATCAATAGATACTATAAAATTAAAGATCTCTACCACATATTGTTTTTCTTCCAAAACTTCGCCTCGATTAGAAGCATTATAAAAAGGAAGCCTATAGCAGCCTAAAAGCTTTCTCGCTTTCAAGAGTGATATGGGTTGGTTGTAGCAGAATGAAACACATAATCCAAGGCCAAGTCTGGAAACAGCTCAGCGCAACTAAACTATCTGTAGTAATATTAGATGTAGAGACTTTCTATTATACATAATTATGTCACCGTAAAAAAATATTTCCGTAAAATCTGACATAGCTAGATTAGCTTTAATCTTTTTTTTTGTCAGAAGGACGAGGTATCACTAAAAAGACCCCGGTGCTCCGTCACTCGCCATAAGTGGGAGGAAAGGAAACTGTGGGTTTCCGGACAAAGCCTTCTCTACCACAGCCCCTCCTGGTAATGGCGGGCCCTACAAATTAAACTAACACACTGTTAGTTTACAATCTCACGCGTTATATTATAAACTGAGGGAGTTCTCAATTTCACGTTCATTTCAGTTCAAAGCTCCATTTTTGTGATATCTATTATCCAAATACAAACTCAATCAATCGAGGGGGAATTTCAGCTCACATCTATGAAATGGTTTGATCGACATTCGTCCATAATATCCGCCATCAACGCGAAATACCACATCATTCCAGGCGTTGCTTGGTTTTGCAAATATGTGAGGAATGACCGAAGCCGACCCATGACTCGTGCAATGATTGAATATTTCGATTGTTGGGGTTTCTAGTTTAGTTTTGATGAGGGTTATTCGAAAATATACTAACCCTTAGTTTATTTTTGACCTTTTTTCTTTAATATATTTATCTGTAGTAGGTGTAGTAGTTTTTATATCTATATTAATAATTTCGTCAAGGGGTACGGTAGACTGGATCGAAACCTTATATGAATAACAAAGCATAAAAAAATAACGATTTTGAGTCGACAACATATATCCGCAAAATTCGGATAATGGAGAATTTCGTTAAATTCCGATAGCATTGACAAACAAACCGCTGTCGCCATCTTTAGTAGTTCACTATGCGATCAACGCCAAAAGCTGGGTTGTCACAAGGTTGTCATCGATCCATAAATATAGTTCCAAAATACTGAACTGTCCTATCGATGACATTGACAGCGGGGCGCCACCGTCAATACCGAATCGCTGGTTCCGATTTTTGCCATGTTGGAAACCATAAAGTTGAACGATGGTAGCGCCCCCCTGTCATTGAGTTTGGCGGGACAGTTCAGCGTGGATCATCTATAAATGGAAATCAGTGCGTTTCGCGATTTTTATGATAATAAATACTATTTGTTATGTGTTTTTTCTTTAAACCTGGTATTGGCCGATTCAACCACAAAAAAAGAATATTAGCCATAACTTTGAAGTTCAAATGTCAATGTCATTTAGTTTCGCACAGTGATAAATTCCAGTGACATGCAATTTTTGTAATGGTAAATTATTTGTAAGAAACTGCAAACAAATGCAAATGTGCAGTCGATGTGTGGAATGCGACAACATTATACTCGGTAAGCGGCTTAATATTTTTTTTTATTTAACCCGAAAAATAATAATAAATGACCACATGTATAGCCTGTGTTGAGTTGTTATCAACATAAATACAGAAACAGACACAATTTTTGCACCGTTTTTTCTGATAACCGAATAGACTCCTTCATGCGCAAGTTTCACTTGAGCTCGGCTGGTTCTTATTATAAATAATTGTGTAATATATTTTTGCAGATAATTTCAATTATTGCGAGTGTTGTGGCTTAGAAACAATTAGGCAGTTAAGAATAAACAAGGCTCGGGCACTATCAAACCTTTTTCCTAAAAAGCAAAAAGCTGCTTCTGCTGCTTCACAAGATTTATTTGATGACTTTCAGGTAAGTTAATAGTGTAGGTCACTGAGTAAAGTAAAATAATAATAATAATAAATAAACTTTATTTATCTTTCACAGAGGTATAAATAAATATAGAGGTGGGAGGATATACCTACACCTACATACATTCACAATACTTATTATTATTTGAATATTTGCCTAAAAATAAAATATATTTCTCTTATTAAACTCAGTTAGCTCAGATGGAGCGCGACAACGGAGAAGTCGAGGATGTAGGTTCAATTCCTGCATGTGGTGTATTTTTTCATCACATCTTATTAAATTTGTTTAATAAGAGTAACACAATATAGCATTAAAAATTTAAATTAAATCTTTAAATTAAAGCTTTAAATTAGCTATTCATAAATATATTTCTCTTTTAAGGTTGATAACGAAGAGTTGACGATTTATATTTAGCACTTTCAAATAACACCATTCAAGTATCAGTACATTCAGTTGGTTCTATGATTTATGAATGTGTTCAATGTCAAGCACTTCATTTTTTAGGTGAAAAAATTAAAAATCATTTTAAAAATTGTTGTCATAATTGGAAGGTATACATAGACCCAGACAGTCTTAAAGCCAATTCCAGAAATATTATCAGCATTTTTTGAACCAAACAGAAAAGATGAAAGTGTTCGACAATATCTTTACACTGACATTCCGACACATTTCAGATTTATCCATGGACAGTGGCAACCACGAATATCTCAGTCAGCGGCTGATAAAGTAATTGCAAGAATGTATAATTATTCCTTTTCTGATCAGGAACGATATTATCTCCGGCTATTGCTTCTTCACGTCAAAGGGCCGACTTGCTTCAGAGATGTTATAACTTATTAATATGAAAATATTATTTACACATCATTTCGAGAAGTTGCTCAAGCAAGGGGGCTACTTTTTGACGATCAAGAATGGGAAAGATGTTTTGATGAAGCAATTGGTTTCAAACTTTCTCGGCAATTACGACAGCTGTTTGCGTTAATTTGCGTGTTTTGTGAAGTAACTGATCCTAATGCTCTTTGGGAA